GCCAGGTGGTCCCAGGGTGCTCTGAGCTGTGACTGCCCTCTTGGGGTGGCTGGGACTAGATAAAGCAAAGGTCAGGGGTTTCTGGGGTGCTATGCACTGTGGCTGCCCTGTCAGAACAGCTAAGGCTGGATCAGGGCTAGACGGGGAGGTTCCATGCTATGACCACCCTAGTGGAATTGCTGCAGCTGGACTGGGCATGGGCTGGGGGATCCCAGGACACTCCATGCTGTGGCTGCCCTAGCTGAATGGCTGAGGCTGGATTGGGCACGGGCCAGGGGATCTTGGGGCTTGCCAGGCCCACAGCTTCCTTGGGAAGATGGCTGGAGTTGGTGTGGGCCAGGCATGCTGGGGCAGACTTGGCAGGTCAGCTAGAGCACCCTGACCATGTTACCACCCTCCCTATAAAGGTGGAGAGAGGGGTGCACAAAATGGTGATCACTGGGGTGTCCAGTCCCAGAAAGAGTTCCAACAGTTCCTCGCCTGTTTGGCAGATGCTCTAGGGTTAGTAAGTGGATTTCCTTCAAGTAGAGTCTAGGTGCCCTTTAAACCACTGGTTTGGCTGTGCCCCAGGGCAGGGGAGTCTGTGTATGGCCCCCTCAGTGATATCCCTCCCTGCTTTAGGTCACCACATTGGGGGTGGGGTTCCTGCCATTACTGCGTCTCCATCTCTCCTACCTGTCCCTATGTTCCCTCTGTCACTTGTTGTGCAGAAGCTGTTCAATCAGCCCTCAGTTCTTCTTCAGGAGGAATTTCTCTGTGTATAGGTGTAGATTTGGTGTGTCCATGGGAGGAGGTGAGTTCAGGGTCTTCCTGCACCGCCATCTTGGACCCCAGCAATCCCCAAGTCACGACATTTTAATTCAGCTGAGACTGTGGAATCAACTAATAGCTTTTAGAGACAATATCATCCTTCATTCTTGTTTTATGGATGAAGAAACTAAGAACTAAAATGACTTGCCCAAGCTCCTATAGATACTATGCAGAATTATATGTCCCAAGTTCCATCTGCAGAAAATAATAAAGAAGGTAGTTTCCCCAGATGCTGGTGGACTTCCTTGACCATCTTTCAGCATCTGTCCAACCCACTGACCTAGGTATAATCTGTCTATATTGTACTTAGCAGATAGAAATAATTATTATGACAATGGAAATGTAAGACTTTTTTTACATTTATGTGATCTTCATGGGGTAGCATTGTTTAGCTATTTGATACATACAGCTTTCTAAAAGCTGTACTTCTATATTATTTTAAGCAACTATGTTAAATTCCAAAAGAAGGCATTTTATTCATAAACCATGAGATCTCATACATAAAATTAAGTACCAAAATGCCAATTTATTTTCCCTTTCTGCCTACTTCACAATACCCTTCTCATGAAGGTTTTTTTTTCCATTCTCTCCATCTTAATTATTATGATGTAATTTATTGAAATAGGTGGTCTTAATAGTTTGTGACTTTTGAGAAACCAGGGGACAAAAAGTTCATAAGATCATACCGTTCATTTATTATTTTTTTCACATTCAGCTTCTACAATATGTAGTCCCCATCTCTAGTTCAGTGATTTCTCTAGTTCTTTTCTCTATGCAATTTAAAGCAAAAAATCTTATCCTTAATATCCTTAACTCACTTCTCAGGTAAGACTATCCTTTTGCAGTAAAGTTCCCTTTTAATCTGTTAGGTAATTTAGAAAAAAAGGTTGATTTGAAATTATTACTCATCTTCTTCAAAACAACAACAAACAAAAACATTACTACATTTCAGAAATCATAATAATGATGATAATAATAGCCAATATTAATTAGTGTTTACCGTGTGCTGGGTATTTTGCATGTATGAATCCTCAAAGCAAACTTCTCTTGTGGATCGCTGTCAGTATCCTTACTTTACAAATGAGAAAGCTGAGCCATGGGTATATTATAACCTCCCCAAGATTGCACAGCTTCGAAGCGGTAGAACCAGAACTCAGACCCACGGAGGCTGGCATCATTCCTCAGGAACAGCCCATATCCACCCATTCCCCATATCCACCCAATTGTTTGGTCATGATCATCTCCTCCTCCAAATTCTTCATTTGATGCTTGTCTTATCCTACTTTGTATTGTATGTTTTTAAAATAGCTTCATAATGAACTAGATTATTAACTCCTGGTGAGAAGACTGACCTACACAAATATGAGGGTTATATACCACTTAATGAGTGTTTACAATGTGACAGGCACTTTACTAAGCAATTTACTCATATTATTTCATTTAGTCCTTACTACAGCACCCTGAAGTATAATTACCCCACCCCATTTTATAAATATTTGTTGAGATTTCAGCAGCTTGCCTATGTCTTACTTTGCTTAATAATTATTTCTTGTTTGCGATGATCATAACATGGCAGAATCATAGAGTCATTCATAATATTGAAGTAACTTGAGTCCACCTACTCTGACTCTATCATTTCACAGATTAGCCCATGAGATAAATTTGTATATGATTGCTGACCAGAATAGACCAAATATAGCTTAGCAATTATGGAAACTACATTTTTTTTCCTACTTGCAGGTCATAAAATTTTTTTACATAGGCAAAGGAAAAAGGAGATTAAAGAAATAGTTTCATAAAATTGGCAATTTGAGGAGATAGGGAAGAGAAACTTCCCAAATCAGAAAATATTGTGCTTGTGTATCTGCACTATCACAAAGGGTTGAATTGTCAACCAGGTTCACAGGAAATGGAGGTTTACAGGAAAGGAGTAAAGGCTAACACCACATCAATGTCTGGGAGGCCAGAAATCAGTCAGGCACAGCTTCTGAAATCCTTTCCAACATTGTGATGCATTTTGGATTTGGAGAGAGAAATGCTAACTGCATGACATACAAGTTAGCCCAGGAAAGCCTCTTAAATTTGGGATCTCATATTATATACACTACAAATGATTTAATGAAAAGAACTATTTAACTAACTTTTATTCTCTGGTGGGTCTGTGTCTAATAAATCGAAAAGTGGCAGTTTGATTACCATAGCAATCCAGACAAACCAGGTATATCTTGCTAAAAGGATTTCTCAGATAAGAAATCCTTACACTGCCTGCCCTGCAATGCCCTCTTTTATCTTGCAGCTGGTAAATTCTGTCGGTATTTACAAGGAGGTGTGGCTAAAATCAAAAGGCCTCAAGCTATAGGGAGGAGGAAGAAATGTACAGACACACTGGTTCTTAACCCTTTCCTTCCTACTCTTTCTTTCCAAAGTAGAGATAAATCTACAAACAACTGGGAATAAAAATATTATATTCATCTAAGCAATGACTGTTAGCATCTAATAAATGCCATGCAAAAAAGGGAAAGTAATTCAAGTACTAAAATATACATATCCATAGTAGGTATAGCAAGAACTCCTCACAAGCATTACGGAGTAGGAAAATATGTATTCATCTGAATGTCTCTTTAGAGTAGGGTTGCCAAATAAAACACAGGACACCCAGTTAAATTCAAAATTCAGATGAGCAACTAATTTTATTTTAGTATAAGTGCTTCCCATGCAATATTTGGTCTTGTATTTTATCTGGCAACCCTAATTGGAAGTCATATTTTTATTTGCCAGGCTTGGCAACCCTACTTTAGAGTTATACACTGAAGGTGGAACAGCTCAATGATTAGAGTGTGAACCTTGAGGCCAATTTTGGAGTCAAACACTGACTTCGCTATTTACTAACTGTGTGATTTTGGGCAAATGATTTACTCTTTCTGGACCTCAGCTCCTTACCTGTAAAATGGGAAATTTTATGAGGATAAATGAGAAAATACATGGCAAGGACTTAGAACATACAGTATGCTCTGAGTAAAGATACTCAGCAAAAAAGTTAAACTGGTTGGCGAGTACCTTAACTTTTCTATTTCTATTTATAAATAGAAAATTTCTACTTTAGTATGGCTATTTGGATTTTATATATGTACACTTATAAAGTAGAAATGTATTCATTGTACATCTTCAGAGCCATATAAATATTAAGTATCACTTTTTTGAGTTCTGCAAATGTTTGCCTTGCCTATATCACCTAAAAAATAAGAGATGAAAGGGTGATGAATCTCCCATAACTGAGCCTACCCCATGATCTGCTTACATTCAATTAATATTTTAGCATTAACATGACACTTAAAAATCTATACTTCTAAATAGGATATAATCTTCAGTCTGTAAGCAGGAATGTAAAAAGAGCAATCAGAGTTAATAAGCAAAACATCTGATTGCTGATAAAAAAAAATCCATGAATTCCTATTACCTGTTAAAACATACTTCCTAAATAAGAAACAAACAAACAGAAAAAACCCTCCTCTTTTCAGGAAAGTGTTTTTCTCTACCATGGAAAAATTAATTAAATTCTTGTCCAACATTCTCTTAAATATGCTTAGTGATCGTATTATATTTAAAAGGAGTTTAGTTTGGTTGTTTCTTAAATATCAATATATTTTTAGAAAAAAATTATGGCACTTTCTGGTATATCCTAATTGTGAGAATGAAATATTAGATTTTGTTATCCTCAGCATAAATTATCTCCTACAAGCTTACTCTTCTTACCAACTTTAACAAGGCTTGGAATTTCTGAGGACTTTAAAATAGTGATTGAAGAATTGAGGTAGATTTCACAGTAATTACCCTCTCAATAGAATGTTGGATAAATAGATTAAATATACATTATATAACATATATAATCCAAGCAATATTTAGTCATTTGAATTGTACAGATAATTGTAATTGACACCTACAGATTTTGTTATCCAAAAAAATTAAATATCTGAGTTCTAGTGCTTTTTGCCAACAGTGGTATTGCTTATCTACAGCAATCAGCAGGGATGTACAGTATTTGGTTATCTTTCCTAATAAGTTAAGTTCATAAAAATTCTCTCTTTGATGTTTGCCAGAGTACAGGCACATGCTTATTTCGGGACATATTTAAAGCTAAAATCAACTGAAGTAAAGAATAGGTGATTCTGTGTTCTTGCTGATGTGTGTGTGTGTGTGTGTGTGTGTGCATGTGTGTAAGGTTTTCCTTTTAAACGAGTCTGGCCTACATACTCAACATTTCCCCCAAAGTTTCAGGCATAAAATCTGATACACTGAAATGGTCACTGTTCTCTTTATAATTCTGATTAGACAAGGGGTTGCCAGATGTTCCGATTGTCATAAGGCCTCCCCAGGACACAATATTCTCTGAAGTTTCTTGATTCTGTAGCAATGTTAACACATAATCTGTCCAGAAGCACATTTTCCACTCCAATTTCAAAGTATACAATTAGTGTTTTTCATGATTCTACTTTCTATTTGCAGACAGGCAATACACAATTCTTTATGTCCTTCCAGGGGTAATCATTATTTTACTGAAACTTATTTCTTTTGCCTTTATTGGGTGCTGCTCCTTCTGTATTTGCAACTTGTATGTCTATCTTTGTTGAAACCAAATGATGAACAAATACCACAGAGGGGCCTCTTTACAATGTCATTAAGTAGACTGATGGAAAGGTGGATGGATGGATAGCATTTCCAGTTCTCGGTGCAAAGAGCCCAAGCTTACATCTTAAGTTGCAATTATAGATTTTCTATGATGGATTCTAGAGAATTTACTGTTAGAGATTTTGTTAGTTGTTCCATTGAACATAAAATCTATGATAGGAGTAAATTTCTCAACTGGATAAGCTTTTCTTCCTCTCTTTCTTTTCCAATTGTCTTTCTTTTCTCTTTTTCTGCAAATGAGGCCTTTGGAGAAAAGACCAGAAATAATGGTATAACAAGGAGGGATACTCAAGCTACTGAATAATGGAACACGTATCTTTGTGGTTTCCCTGCTGTATGCTTGTAGCATGATATAACAGATTACAAGGCATTTCTCAATTTCTCCCCATTACGATAGTCACCTCTGGCCACTCCTCATTTCTCTGGATCAGCTCTTTCCTTTCTCTACTTTTAGATATCTAAGCCGTGCCTTCAAAGTGCGTTGCTGAATCTGGCTTGCAGCAATCTGGCTTGCCAATGTCGCTAGGGAATGCTATGAGCAGCAAGTCCTAATCAGGATCCTCCCTTTCAATTTGGGGAACATCCTGCCTTTCTTGAAGAATAAAATTCTTTGACCTGCTCCATACTATTAGGTTAGCATCTACTTCTTTCTCAATTTAAAATGAATTCTACATATGTTTTTGAATCTCCCCCTTAATTCATTACAGGTTCATTCCAAGGACAAGTGAGAATGTACTTTGATGTAAGCTCTAGAAAAAACTCTATTGAATTTTTCGTTTTACTTTGAACTAGAAGGGTTTAAATAATGAGGCTTTTTGTTTGAGGATAATTTAAAACTAGACTGAAAAAGGCCAGTTGGAATAATTTTCCCTCCACTGTGGGTGATTTTTAGCTTTAATGTCTGACTCTTCGAACCTTAGTTAGACTCTAAAAGATCTACAGCTATTAGCCAATGAAAAGATGTACAATATCATTCATAGATCCTGCTCTGTTGAAACATATTCAATCCAATCCCAATTAATAAAGTAAAAAAATCCATTATTTTTAGTTCCATTTAGTTTAATAATTGTGGAACACTTAAAAACCTTATGTTACTTAAAAAGGTCACATTTTATCCTTTGAAGTAGTCATTTCTCAATTTGCTAATTTAAATATCAACTCATTTTTAGCACATTGGAAAATACAGACTATGTCTTCTGGGAATTTAGAAATATTTATTATAATTTCATATCTCTCTTTATTTATAAGACGAATAATATGCTGTACTCACAGACATCTCATCCCTATTAATCAGTTAAAAAGCTTTTATTACTGAGCATATCTGTGTCCAACAGTGTCCTAGGCACACTGTGGGCTTAAAAAGTAAAATAAGCAAGAACATTGTCCACCACCTCAGAGCACTTCTAATGTAATAATAATAAGTAGTTGACATTTATTGAAAGCTGGAGTAACTATATTAATTTCAAAGCAGACTTCAGAACAAAGAAGAAGCAGACTTCAGAACAAACAAGATTATCAGGGATAAATAGAGCACTCAATAATGATAGAAGTTCAATTCTCCAAGAAAACACAATAATCCTAAACATGTATGCACCTAACCAAAGAGCATCGAAATATGTAACGCAAAATACAACAGAACTGAAAGGAGAAATAGACAACTCTCTATTACAGTTGGAAACTACAAATCTTTCTACCAATAATTTAGAAGTCAAGGAGGCAGAAAATCAGTAAAGATATACTTGACCTAAATAGCACCATCAATCAATTTGACCTAATTGACATTTATAGAATACTCCATCTAACGACAGTAGGATACACATTTTTCTCAAGCTCACATGGAATATTCATACAGATAGACTAAACTATCTATAGGGCTATAAAACACCCTTTAACAAATTCAAAATACAGTCATGTGTGGCTAAACGACAGGAATATGTTCCAAGAAATACATTCTTAGGTGATTTCGCTGACGTGTGAACATCATAGAGTGTACTTACACAAACCTAGATGGTATAGCCTACTACACACCTAGGCTATATGGTACTAATCTTAATGGGACCACCATTGTCTATGTGGTCTGTCATTGATGGAAACGTTGTTATGCAGTACATGACCGTAATAGATCAAAGTATGTTCTGAAATCACAGTGAGAACGAGAAATCAAGAGCAAAAGATGGCTGGAAACCCCCCAAATATTTGGGGATTAAACAGCACACTGCTAAGTAACACTGCTAAGAAGTCTCAAGAGAAATTTAAAAATATTTTGAACTCAATGAAAATGAAAATTTAATTATCAAATTTTGTGGGATGCAGTGAAAGTAGTGCTTACAGGAAAATTTACTGAAATAAATGTATATATTTGAAAGAAATAAAGTGCTAAAATTAATAACCTAAATTTCCATCTTAGAAAGCTAGAGAAATTAAACCTAAATCAAGAGAAGATAAAAAAAGTTGGAGCAGAAATCAATGAAATTGAAAACAGAGAAATAGGAGAAAATTAATGAAACCAAAAGCTGATTCTTTGAAAAGATGAATAAAATGGATAAATATGTAGCCAAATTAAACAAGAAAAAAATAGAGAAAATACAAATTACCAATAGTAGAAATGAAAGAGGTGCCCTCACTACTCATCATATGGACATTAAAAAGATTATAAAGCAATAGTATGAAAAACTCTATGCCCACAAATTTGATAACTTAGATGAAGTTGACCAATTCCTTGAAAGACATAAGCTATGAAAACTCGCACAAGGAGAAACAGACAACCTGAATAGATCTATATCTATTAAAGAAATTAATCAACAATTAATACCCTTCCAAAAATGAAAACACCAGGCCCAGAACATGTTCCAACTATCTCTAGGAGGCTAGCGATACTCTAATACCAAAACCATTTAAAGACATTACAAGAAAAGAAAACTACAAATCAATATCTCTCACGAACACAGATGCAAATATCAACAAAATTTTAACAAATTACATCCAACAATGTATGAAATGAGTTACAAACTGCAGCCAAGTGGATTTATTCCAGGTATTCAAGGCTGATTCAACATTAGACAATTAATTAATATAATCCACCATATAAACAGGCTAAGGAAAAAAAATCTATGATCATATCAGTTGTCTCAGAAAAAGCAGTTAACAAAATCCAACACCTATCATGACAAAAAATCTCACCAAAGGAGGAATAGAGGATAATTGCCTTAAGTTGATAAAGAACACCTACAAAACACCTACAGCTAACATTATACCTTTTAGTGAGAGACTAGACACCTTCCCCAGAACATTGGTAACAAGGCAAGAATGTCCTCTCTCACCACTCTATTTAACAGCGTCTTGGAAATGCTGTCTAGTGTAACAGGGCAAGAAAGAGAATTAAAGCTATAAAGATTGGAAAGGAAGAAATAAAACTGTCCTTATTAACATATGGCATGACTGTCCATTTGTCTATGTAGAAAAAACAAAAAAATCTGCAAAGAACTGGAACCAATAAGCAAGTGTAGCAAGGTTGCAGGATACAAGGTCAACATACAAAAGGCAATTGCTTTTGAATAACAGCAAGAACAATTGGAACTTGAAATTAAAAAAAAATAAAACACGTTTACAATAGCACACACACAAAAAGAAATATTTAGGTATAAATCTAACAAAATATGTATGGTATCTATATGCAGAAAACTACAAAACACTGATGAAAGAAATCGAAGATCTAAACGGAGAGTCTGTAATCAGTGATTAGAACACTCAACATTGTTAAGATGTCAGTTCTTTTCAACTTGATCTCTAGCGTCAATGCAATCACAATCAAAATCTCAGCAAGCTATTTTGTAGATATTAAGAAAATGTTCTAATATTTATTTGGAATGGCAAAAGACCTGTAACAGCATCACAATCCTGAAGAAGAACAAAGTTGGAGCACTCACAGTAGCCAATGCCAGGACTTATTATAAAGGCACAGTAATCAGGACAATGTATTGTAGCTGACAGAATACACTCATAGATTAATGGAACAGAAGGAGAGCCTGAAGTCGACCAACACAAATATAGTCAATTGATTTCTGACAAGGCAAAAAAGCAAACGCGACCCCCGTGTGGCCCTCCATGGCAGGCAATGTCCTTCTCCCCCAGGCTGTGAATATATCTGACTAATAAACTCCTGTTGATCTCACTTGTCCAGTGTCAAGTGTCAGGCATTTGGCTATCCTCATAATGTAAGGGTAGGAATTCCTCTTATCTCTCACCAACGGGGTGACTAGGAGGTGATCAAAATATACCATATAATGTAAGATGTTAAAAATTGGATAAAGTGGGTGTGGGATATATCAGATATCTCTGTAATATATTTGCAACTTTTCTGTAAATCTAAAAAACATTCTAAAGTAAAAAGTTTATTGAAAAAATCAAAATACTTCAATCATCCTTTCTCAGTATTTTGCATCCAGATTTCCTAAATTGCTTGGGGTCACACAGCTTATAAATGGAGGTGTCCAGATGTACACTCAAGCTGTCCATGCCCATATG